GAGAACAGGTGTTTCTGGAGAACAGGTGTTTCTAGAGAACAGGTGTTTCTGGAGAACAGGTGTTTCTAGAGAACAGGTGTTTCTAGAAAACAGGTGTTTCTAGAGAACAGGTGTTTCTAGAGGACAAACACTGAGTGGCTATGTCTGCTGCTCTTTAGTAAAGTTAGGTCAGCTCTTTTTAAAACCGAAGGTTTCTAAGAACCAGCGTTAAATCTTCTGTCGAACACAAGAAGATTCTCTTTAGTCCTTGTAGCTGCACCTGACACAGGTGAGTCTGGTCTGGGTTCAATGAAACATGAAGCATCTGAAGAGAAACCTGCTCCATTTGTCACAAAGACAGTTGAAGTTTCATTATTATTTAGGTTACTTTATTTTTCATTAATTTTGAATCAGTTGTAACTATTTTCACATTATTCAACAACCAAAACTGATTTTGTTTTTTAATGTAACGACTAGGTATTCAAAAACAAACATGTAGCCCTCCCCACTACCCAGTTATGTTGCTCTTATTTTGAAATGTAACAGGAAGTTCTGTGATAAGAGAGGCGGAAGGAGAAGTTATGGAGACGCTGCTAATGTTGAACAAGTTAACACCATAGACATAATGTGCCTGTGGTTAACACAAACGGCTTGTTTTCGTTCAGCATTTATTTTTTTGTCCAATCAGACGTGGCCCCCCAGATACGCCCACTTTTCTATCGTCCAATCAGATAAGGCCCCTTGAATACGCCTCGTCCAATCAGATGTGGCCCCCCAGATACGCCTTCCGTATTTGTCTGCAGAGATACCTACTTGCCCATGTCACGTCAAGGGGCCTCCCTCCCATTTTTCTTAGAGACACGCTGCTCGCTCCCTCACTATCCATCCTTCAGTTCAGACAGTCTTGTACTGCCATCCAGTGGTCAAAAAAAGGTACTACACAAAAATTAAACAATTCTTCTTAAATTTGACAATAATTGCCAATTGTTGTCAAATTTCAAACGATAGTATCGTTTATCGCAATAATTTCTGAGACGATTAATCGCTTAGCAAAATTTGTTATCGTGACACGCCTAATAATTCGTAGCTCTCACCATGATGATCCAGCCACATTCAAACAAATCTACAGACACCGACATCGTTCTTGGGAATTCTCTTTGCATTACGCACTATATTAGTTTCCACATCAATAAACGTGCCTTTTAAATGTCGCCAGTAGAAAAAACAACGTGTTTTCCAACCATTAAGTTGGTGTGGGGCCGTGCACGTTTCTACGGTCAGTTCATAAATGATGCATGAGGAATTCTGAAAGGAAAAGATGATTTTTGTGCATGTGCACCCTTTGTACACAACCCCCTACCTGTGTTGCCACTTTGTGTCTTTTTGGCGTTCTTCATTTTTCTTTTTGCTTCCTGCTCCTTCTCGTCATCGCTATAATCTAAGGCCTGGAGAAAAACACGTGACACATTGTGACAGAACATCGAGGCACGCTTCTGCCTCTCTAAACTATTTTTAAACATTCACATGCCACATTTAAATTACTGCAATTGAAAACAGGGATTCCCAAAATTATTACCATTTGTTAAAAACGCCCACATGTTGAAAGGGAGAACACATTTTTTATATTTTTGTATTACTTTCGTCAAAATCACAAGTTTACATACAATAAAATTACGTGTCTCTTAAAAACAATTTGGGAAAGCTCAGATGATGATGTCATGGCTTTGGAAGCTTTTGAAAGGTTAGTTGACCAAAAGAAACGGCGTTGATCAGAGATGACGTCACAAGAACTGCAGGGAATCCCCGGTGTCCCGGGTGTCGGTCCAACAACACGGCACACCTCATGCATAACGGACGCCTCCACTGCTTTTGTCCATGTCAACTTAAAGGAAAACGCCGTCCCCCGGGACAGAATCGACTTGGAATATAGACAAGGCTACAATAATGCAGCATACGGGGCTGACATGGTGAAGAGGCAGGGCAGCCGACTTGGGACCAGGAAGTCGCGGTTCGACTCCACCACGCCCACGTGTCGAGTCCTGGAGCAACACACCCAGTCCCTAATTGCTTCGCGGACACATTTTAGATTCTAGTCTTTGTACGGGAACATACAATAATAACACATATCACTTATGTTCTTGTGTAGCACTTGTGTTCCGATGTTTTTAATGCTTTTTATTAATTATTTAATATCATTGTTAGTGTGTGGTATTTATTTAGTTTTTCGTTCATTTTTACCCCCATTGATGTTGTTAAGCACTTTGATAACAGTTTGTTTTAAATGTGCTCCATACATAAACTTGACTTATACCAAAAAAAAGGTCACATTAATATTTTGTTGGAGCGCTTTGATCACATCGTGCATTCTCTCTGTCATTGTTTCGATAAACTTCTGCAACGTCACAAGATCCGTTTCATCCAGTGTTGCATTAATGTTTCACCAAGATCTTTCATTGATGACGAGACACTGGTCATGATGGGTGCATCACTTCACCTGCATGCACCATCACTCTGGAACAGGGTCGACCTGGACTCATCTGACCACACGACCTTCTTCCATTGCTCCAGAGTCCGATCTTTATGCTCTCTAGCAAAGTTAAGCCTTTTATTCCAGTTAGCCTCACTGGTTAGTGGTTTACTTAAGGCTACACAGCTGTTCACTCCCAATCCCTCGAGTTCCGTTCGCATTGTGCGTGTGGAAATGTTCCTACTTTCACTATTAATCACAGCCCTGAGCGCTGCAATTTGGTGAACTAAAGGAAGATGAAAAGCGGCCAAAAGCAGCAGACCAGGGAACTCTGGAGCAATGCAACAAACTAGCTTCCACAGCAAACAAGAAGGGGCTCGGAGACGATCCTTGATGCACTCCCACCTCCATCTTGAAGCTATCTGTCACTCCTACGGCACATCTCACCTCTGTGTGTATGCGTGTGTGTCGGGAGATCTGAATAGTGATGTTCTATAAAACAAATTCTGTTATGGTTTCAAAAACTTCTTTACAATTTAAGCACCAACGTTCCTGAAAAATCACGTTAAACTTTTCAAAAGCTTTCATGCACCATCATTAACCCTGTGACCAATCAGCGGTGATTACCTCTTCTGGTGGTTCCTCATCGTTCTTCCAGGATGCATCAGATCCTCTTAACCTTTGAAAACACAATGTTTTAATAGTTTCAGCTCATCTTATCCAGCAGTCATTGTTAGTGAGACGTACAGAATGTTCTTACCGTGTCAGTTGCTGTGTCAGAATGTAGCCGGTGTATTCTTTGAAGGAAGGTGCGTAGTAAAGCAGCAGTCCTTCGGTCAGGCGCTTGCTTTTAATCTGGTCTTCAGAGTTAAAACGCAAAATGTACAGAGGACTGGACACGGGGCCGAACACCTCGAACACCTCGAACACAAGAAGCACACGCCATTAACACGCAGGAAGCTGCTGAAAGTGTGAAGTCTGGTGATGCTCTTACTTTTCCTACAGACGTCCTGTCAGCTGTGAAGAGGACGCTGTCGTCATTCAGAGGAGGGGTGTCCTTCAGAGACTGGATAATAACTGAGCAGATGGACACGCAGGTGAATGACAGAACTCATGAAAAGCTCGTGAACGGATGTAAAGCGCTGCCATGTTTACCGAGCTGCTGCAGAATACTAGAGACCGTCCCCACCGGCAGCAGCTCTGCTTCTTCTGGTAACGTCACAGACACTTCCTCTGCAGCTGGAAGCTCCTGCACACAGACGCAGAAAAATCTGGGTGAACAGGAATAAATGTACATTTTTGTTAAAAAAATAAAAACCTACAAGAGTCACTCAAATACAGCGGAAGACCGTCAAAGCCAGCGAGGTCATCGCTGTGGGCCTGAACATCGTCACTAATTTACATTTCAATATTTTTTCTATTAATGAATATTTATTCAGAATCGTCTGTTCTCTTGATTTCACAGCGTTTCTCCTGGTTGTGCAGCTTCCAGTAAAATTTGTTTATATAAAGCTTTTATCCAACCATATTTCAACCATGAGGTGATGCTTGGGTCAAATAAATCTGCCTTCAGAATCAACAGTGCAGGCACCTGCAGCTGAAAATAAACGGTCATGAAACTGTTCAACATGTCGAAGTCAAGAGCCGCGGGGCAAACCTTGTCCCCCGAGACGATCATTTAAATGTAAAATACTGTTTCTCTTCCAATAAATAAAAAAATCAGCTGATAAATACATAATTTGTCTTGGCAGCTGGCTAAGTTTGAAGCCAGAAAGACGGCTGGATGATTCTGTCATGACTGATTCTGATGTGGAAAGAGACATCAAGTGAGACGGATCAAACTCTTGTTCGTGAACCTGCAACAAAGAAAAAGATCAGATTGAAGAGATCGATGACTCGAGTTAACGCAGCAGCTGAAAGTGGCCCATGGCTCAGACAAAGCTTTAAAACTTTGGCTCCTTTTGGTGACCGAGCTCGACAGCCCAATCAGAACGAGTCGGTGTCACCAGAAGGTGATGTCATCATCATCATCGTCACATCATTTGACTGAACTGTGCGAGCGCCGACTGGTCAGAGCTAGAATACTGCATCTGGAACAACGTGCACACACTTAATACTGCATCTGGAACAAAGTGCACACACTTAATACTGCATCTGGAACAACGTGCACACACTTAATACTGCATCTGGAACAACCTGCACACACTTAATACTGCATCTGGAACAACCTGCACACACTTAATACTGCATCTGGAACAACGTGCACACA